AACACAGAGGTCAAAAGATGGAGTCACGTGTCCTCTATCACTCCTCACCTATTTTTTTGAGACAAGAGTCTCTCCTTGAACATGAAGTCCATGTTTTCTCTGCTGTGATTTCCCAATTCTCCTGTCTCTGTGCCCCTACATCATGAGGCTGTGGGTTCAGGCATTGATGCCTGGCTAGTTATTCTGGTGTTGGGATCAAAACTCTATCCTCATGATTGCACAAGTGATCTTAACCACTTAGCCATCTCCCCAGCCTCCAAATGTCTTTATTTGAAATGCTCCCATTGTTCTATTATTTCCAATATCCCTTTAGGGGCTATCAACTCTCCTCTTACACAACGGTGAGACACTGAGGTGCATAACAGCTAGATCCCCAGGGACTCATTGATCACAGCAATACTAGCCAGTCCTTTAGTACCAATGCTGGCCCAATCTCAACAACACCTTCTTGTGGTTGCATTGCAGCCAGATAATGCTGTATCAACTTACCTTCTGCAAAATTGATTGCTTCAGCTATTTAGGATGGATAAAAACCACAGCAGTTACCCGGAATGGATAGCCTCTACATTTACTGAGACATAGTTTACAGAACCAGGCATGGGTACAGTTTGCAGCACTTCTGCCTGCATGTCATTGACCTTGACTCCATGTGTGACTCTGGTGTGTCTCTAGACTAAACAAGTAATAGGAACACATCAATGTCTTTATCAGTTCATCCTTCCCTCATATCTCATAGACAGAACATAGCTGTAGGAGGCATTTTTTTCTCATTGATGAGACCAAGTACCTTATAAAAACTAAAGAAAGGAAGGATCATAGTGTGAGGGTCCAAACCATCATGGCGGTTAAGTCATGGTGGAAGAGATGTAAGACAATTGATCACACTGTATCTGTGGTCAGCAAATAGAGAGAGATAAATGCTGGTACTCAGTTCCCATTTTTCTTTTACTCAGTCCAGAACCCCAGCCTATAAAATGTGTACCTCACGTATTTAGAATGAGTCTTCCTATCTCCTCAGCTAACCTAGAAGTTTCCTCACAGACACCTACAGAAGTTTGTCTCCTAGGTGGCTCTAGGCCCTGTCAAGCTGGCAATTAATATCAACCATTACCACAATTAACTCATCCCTAAGAGCGATGACCCAGTTCCTATGGCAACATAAGATAGTCTTGATGGTTGATCCTCTCTCTCTGAAGATTTGGATCTACCTGGATGTACCTTGTCCAGTGCCCTGTATGCCAAAAAAGTTAATTCATGTATACATAGTATGCCATGTCAGGTTTTAGAAGGAAAGCGTAGTTGTATCCCCTTCTCTCATTGCCAGGGAATCCTACAGCCCTTCAAAGCTTGACTCTCCCTTTTGGGAATGCTCTTCCATTTTTTTAATCTTTGTTTCTGGTTGCCCTGGTAAGATTCTTCATTTTCTTCCTTTCTCCTTGGCCATTTCTGAATAGAGTGTTGAAGATAACTTATGTTCAAGCCTCCAAAGAATCAGCCCCCATTCTCCTATCAAACCCTAATACTTCAGAATTTTCTTTTTTAAAAGAAATTCTAAGTTCATACATCTTCATTCAGGCAATGGCAGCACCTATGCCCCATACTCCCTGTTAGAATCTTTGTTGCTGGAGTTTTCACACCTGTGTTTTGTTTATAAGTGTTTAAGCAATACTGATGTTAGTGTGAGAGCTATTTACAACATTCTAGAAATCTCCATTTGTGGAGAGAGATTAGGCAAAGTCTAATCTTTGAGTCCCATTACCCTTACGATTACCACGACAGGAGGGAAACTTGAAGTATGGGGTGTTTTGAGGGAGTAGGCATAAATGTTGCTTACACCATTTGGTCCCTCACTCTATTGCTTAGGATTCATTCGCAAGTCCTTGAGATAAATGCTATCTATCTTGGGGGTGCTCTAAAGACTTTGGGACCATGTTCATTTTGAATTGTCTGTGTCTTTTAGTGGGTCTGGGCTCACTAATTTAATAGATTTTGTCAATAATTTTGGGGGTTTCTCCTTTTGACAATCATCCAATGTCTCATCACCCACTTTTTGGTGAGACATTATGTTCGTATAGCAAAGCTACATTTTTATCTTATTTTTCCCTGTCACTTTATCCAACTAAGAGGCTTTTGCATGAGAGAGAGAGAGAGACAGAGAAAGAGAGAGAGAGAGAGACAGAGAGAGAGAGAGAGACAGAGAGAGACAGAGAGAGAGAGACAGAGAGAGAGACAGAGAGACAGAGAGAGAGACAGAGAGAGAGACAGAGAGAGAGACAGAGATAGAGACAGAGAGAGTTGTTCCTGCAGTATGAATTTGTGGACTTTATTCTTATGCTCAAGGACAGCCAGTTCTTTCCTAAACTGTTTTCCTTACAGTGATAACTTGACAGATGTAGACAGAAGCAACCAGCACACTATCAATGAACAATTTTGTAAAGTTTCCCTTTAGATCTAAGATTTCTGTAGACAGGACTTATCAGCTTTGGTGCTTTGGAACATGGGCCTCCATCTTTCCAACCTGAGGCAGCAGCTTGTTCCACCTGCAGCCAGAAGTCTGCTAAATGTTACTTGCTGAAGTTTTATATTTAATTTACTTTACTTTGCAAGGCATAGGGTTTTGCTATGTATCTCAATGCTGATATTGAACTCACTGTGTAGCCCAATTGGTCATGAACTTATAGCAATCCTCCTGCATCAGCTTCCTAAGTGCTGGATTATAGTTGTGCACATTATGACACACTCATTTGGGATTTTAATGGGGGCACATGATCATCACAGCTGTCTGTTAATCAAGCAAATGACACCCTTTATGTCTAAGCCAGAGATCACAAGCGAAGTCCTGTAATATACAAAGAAAGAATGAGAAACCCTCAAATTTTTTCCTATCAATAATATCCAGACATGTAGGGTAATTCCATAAAAGGCAAACGAGATATCTTTGCCACTCACCACTCTCAACTAATATATTTGGTGGCAATACTTGGGCATCTTTGATGGATATGCTCCCAGATGTGAAAATGTGCTCATTTTGTTTTTATTTTTAGTGTCTATATGGTGCTAGTGCCTTCATGGGGACCATGGCTCTACTATACCTCTCACTTAAACATGTCTGTCAGGTTAGTGACTACTCAAGACTACTAGTGCTGTCATTCATACATTAGTGCCATAACCCGTCTAGTCTTTGAATCCCATTGATACTCAGCTATGAATCACCCTCTGTTTCTGGTCAGAGTTTTGGATTTCTCTTTAATTATTCTTGCCTAAAGGTCCTTGGACATTGTGGAAAGCTTTTGGGGCTGCTTGGCAGGAATCTGACATTGGCCAAGGACAAGGAAATGGGCTTCAGGCAGGAATCTGACATTGGGCCATGATAAGGAAGTAATTTCAGGCAGGAATCTAAATCTTAGGGCAGAGCAAAGAAGTAGGCTTCAGGAATGAATATGACTTTGGGCTAGGAAAGAGAAGTAGGCTCCAATATCTTGATCACTCCGATTAGCACCTTAGAAACAGTGATCATGGGAGTGATCACAGGACTTTGTTTATTGCCTTGCTTGTTCCTCAACCTAGAACAGACCTTGCCTTGCGACATAATCCAGCTGAAACAAAGGATGGGTTTGGTGGGGCTTACCCTATATATACAAGTGCTGAATATTAAACTTTGAGCCTTGATTAGAAAACTTTGTCTTAACTTCATATTTCTCTTGCCCCTCTGTCTCCTTTTCATTTCCAGCCCCCCTTTCAGGTAAACCCAGTTTGTTGGTGGCCACTGACGGCTACAGGACATAGATGAAGTCAAACGAGATTTAAATTCCTTTAAATGAGGAGCTAGATTGGTAGTGTATCTCACTTGGTGGGTAGAGTGCTTGCCTAGCATGCACAAAGTCTTCAATTTGGTCCCCAACACTTCAAAAACTGTGTGTAGGGGCACACAACTGTTCCCTCCCTCTGGAGGCAGAGGCTGGAGGATGAAAATTCAAGATCGTTCTTTGCATACTGAATTTTAGGACAATCTGAGCACTTGGTCAAAAATAGACTAGAAATTTTTTAAAAAGCAAAGAAACCAACAGTAAGAAACGAGAGAAAGAAGAAGAAAAGGAAGAGGAGAAGTTTCTTTGGCCTTGGCACAGGGAGCTCCTCCTCTCTGAACTGTGAATTCACTGATTCTCTGCTTAACATTGACCTGTATAACACATATTCCTTTCTATCTGACACCACTTTCATGGCTATAAGATGAAGCATGTAACAGGAAGATGATAGTTTGGGTGATGCTAGTCTGCCTCCTGGTGGCTCCTTTAGAATTGGGAAGTCTGCTTGTTGCTGACTTGAGATAGGGCCTGACTCCAGAGGCTGCAGGAGAGGCAGAAAGCTCTGTTAAATCTGGCTGAAGCATCAGTGTATGGTCACTGACTGTTTGCCACTAAGATGTCTGCTCTCTTCTGACACTTTATGTTTCCACCTGGGGCTTTAATGGAGACTCATCTGGAAGGTACAGGTACCTCTTAGAATCTTGTACTGGGCCCATGGTTTTCACCTTCCCTGCCCTTTCTGGTTGACAGAGATAGAATTGTTTGAAGACTCCTGTGGCTCCCAGATGTGGGAGGGAATTTGAAAGGTCATGTTGGCCTGGCATCTCCGTTGTCAAAGCCAGAGATGTATTTCGATATTCTGGACTGGAGGGATTGGGGGTCTGTGAGGAGACCAGACAGATAGGAGTCTGGTGCAATAAGAGATTGTGTGACAAGCCATGGCTTTGGGAATCAAAAAAAGTGCCTGGGAAAGTGGCTAAAGCTGATGTCACCTGTCAGATGCAAAACTGTGGACCCAGCTTTTTCTAGCTTCAGCCTGTCTGGCTTTCACAACTAAGCTTAGCCTATGCTAAGACCCAGGGTTACCATGTCTGACCTCCTCCCCTCCCTCTGTACCCACACCCTGCTTCTTGCCACCCTGTTAACCCCTCCAACTTCATTTTGTTCCTTTAAAAGACAGCATCCAAGATACGCTTTTGTGTAAAAATAGATTTTTATATGAAACTTCAGTAGTCATACATTTAAAAAAATCCCACAGTATCATGACATTATGATTTTATCCTAAAAGTTTTTAAATAAAATCTTTTCACTGATTCTTGCAAATCCCCTCCATACATAGGACAGGAGGAAAGTAAATGGGGCGGGGCAGGGAACTGCAGGGAACACAACATTAAAGTGACATGAGGCCTCCAGGGCTTTACATTCAAAGTACATGGCAGATTAAATAAAAATATCAATAACTTAAAGAACATTCTTTAGGCATGACCATTTCACATTCCTACAGACAGCTCCTATTTCTTAGGACCATAATCAACCCATTTCAGCACAGTTCTCAGAAAGGAGGAGGAATTTTGCTTCTTGGCTCCTATGTTGGTTTCTGTTCAGGCACATGTCTTCAAGGCTTTGACGTTGGGGTTTTCATGTCTAAGTATGCTATGGCCTCCTCGACCCACTTCTGATGAGCTTCAGCACAGACTTCCATGCCCTTCTTGGTCTGGAAGCTGAAAGAAGAGGGCTCAGTTAGAGAGTATTAACTTATTCTGTGGGTCCCTGCCTGGTGCATTACCCCAAGTTGATGATATTACCCAGGGATGGAGGTGGAAGAAGGTAAGGCAAAAGAAGGGTCTGATGGGAAGATGCAGTTCTCATTGGTCAAAGAGAAGGCCCCTTGGCTCTTAGAGGGAGAAGAAAGTTCTGAACTGGTGGCTCTGAAGAGAGTGGTAGGCTTCAGTTTTCCCACTGAAAGTTATGTGAGTTTGTGTTAGAGATATAGTCTCTACCCATTAAGTATATAGTCCTATTTACTGCCTCAGGGATGACTTAGCACTGAGTGGGTGAAGGCAGGAGTTGTGTACTTACACAACAGCTTCCCAGGGACACCGACTACTGGTGATCTTTCTGTAGCTCTTGAGATACTTCTTGGGGATCTTTTGTTTCTTGACAAAGCAGCACGTGGATAGATTGGGCCCATCTACAATGAAAGAACAAGAAAAGGTTGTTTGTGTTAGGTTGTGGGTCTTTCGTTGATGCTTAAAGGAATGACCACCCTAGTTTAATGTCTCTCCTCTTTAATATGTCCCGCAATTCTTTCTCACTTGAATGGGTTATGTGCCAGTCAATAGAGGCAAAAAGAGCTGATGGCAATTATGGGTGTCACTGGAAAGCATTAGTATAATGCCCCAGTTCCTTAGAATAAGAAGACACTGGTTGTGAGTCTCCTTTTAGAATAAAAGAAATGGTGTTTCGTTGTGACACAGCCTCTACATAGCCACTGTCTCTGGAAATTGGGCTAGATAAAGCACCCACTAGACATTGAACCTCTTCCCCCTCCCTCTTCTACCTGAGAACACACATCATCCCAGACCCCCATTTGATGACCCAGGACTCTATCACCACAGAAGCAGCTGTGGCAGGAACTATCTCCTTTCCACAAATGGGTCCTAAGGGAATCAGGTTCAAGTTCTGGAACTATCACTGGACTGGCTTCTTGTCCTTCTTTTAATTGCCTTACTTTGGCAAAGCCAGTAAGGTGAGACTATGGGTAAGCCTCATTCTGTAATGGTTCATGAAATGTCCCAGAGAAGGTACAGCATGTTCTGGGAAAAAGACGGCATGCTGGGTCTCACCTGGTTGGGCCCACACGTGGATGGTGAAAGCAGCGGCTGTGAGCAGCAGGCACAGAAGTGTGGCAGAGATCCTCATGGTGGAGAAAGGGAGAGAGAGCTGGCTTCAGTGAAAGTTGGCAGATTCTGTGCTGGCCTTGCCTCTCTGCTCTTCTGGCAGCTCTGCCTCCTCTTTTATAGGCAGCAAATAGGGAGGGATCTTCCTTTGGAATGAATCACAGGAGGGTGTCATTTGATGCTGGCCTATTTCCACTTAACACCAGGAATGGAAAATGAGGTGGTAACTCTGTCCAGATAGAACACTGTACTGCAAACTATGGCTTCCTACCAGCTCAGCTCCTCTTGGAAAGAAAAACTTTTTTGTAGAATGAGGAAGGAAACAGAGATGGCAGAGTCAAGGGATTCCTATTTCCCTCTTCTAGCTACATCCCAAGGAGCCCCAAGTCCAGAAACAGGCACTAAAATTCTGGCGGGATTTAAAAACGTGCTTGAAGATGGAAAGTCCTGGTCACTTTTCAAACCTTGGAGGAAAAGATGTTAGCAAACAAACATAAAACATTTCCAAACCCCATGTCTAATATAGTTTCTAATTACTATGTGACTTAGAACAAAACAACTCTTAATTTGGGTTTCAGGTGGGAAAGTTGACTGGCTTCAGCTAGCTAATACTTGGTTGTAGGTAGATGAGGGCTGAAGTTGAGCATCCCAAAGCATTCTCTCTAAGTCTAGTGTCTGGAAGAACTTTAATAGCTGTAGTTTGGACCAGATGTTGCTCTTTGGCTTAGTCTCCCTCTTTCTCTGCATTCCACTGTGAAGACCATACCATATATTTCACATGATGCCGTAAGTCTCCAGGTGCATAGACAAAACCTCTTAGCAAGCGAGTGTAAAGAAACATGCAGACTTGTTTTTAAACTACTGTATAGAAACAGGTCTGTAACTTGATAGCAGAGAGAATATTAGGCAATGGCAAGGGCCCAGCTTCTGTTTCCAGAAATACTGTCCAGAAGAGTTTGGATTGTGGAATCTTATGGTTTTCCAAATACCTGATTATCTATGAAAATATTTTTTCTAAGTCAAAGAACTTAGGGAAGTCAAGCTGAATGTAGCGTTATATCTTTAATGTCAGGTCTCAGCATGTGAGAGGCTAGGTCAGGAGGAGCGTGCTCTTGGGGCTAATCTACATTCCATGGTGAGACATCATATCAAAAACTCCAGAGTCTAGGGATGTAAAACATGCTATGCATGAGCACCTGCCCAAGCTTCATGACGAAGATGCAATCCTAGACTCTAATCAGCCAACACTGTGACAATCCAGCCTTTGAACTGAGAAAACACAGTCAGTCACAGATTATATCACTGGCAACTGGTTGGGAATTATCATCCAGATAATATAAAGAACTCCTACAACTCAGTAGCAAAAACAAAACCAAACAACTGAATTGGAAATGTACAAAGAGTATCAATAGATGTTTCTAAAGGATGATAGACAAAAAACATTGAAAAAGACATTCCACATTGCTAACCTTTGGAAGCTTATGTGAGGTACTGAATTCAATGTCAGGTCCCTGTATGTAAATAAATAAGAATGAAAAGGTAAATTCAAACCAAAGCCTTCATGAGATATCATTACTTTGCCCTATTATAGTACTTACATCAAAATATCAAAATAAAGACTGTCGCTTGTAAGCTCAGTACTAGAGTACTCGTCTAGTATATGCTTAGCTCTGGGTTCCAATCTTAGCACTATAAAAAAGTTAACTGACAAAGAAGGAAATAGGAACTTGTTTAGTGAGTATGTAGTTTGGCTTTTACAAGGTGAAATGGCCTAGAGGTCTGTTGTTCAATGATGTTAGGTATGTCAACACTAGTTCCATAACTATGCTTAAAGATGGAAATGATGGAAATTCTGTGGTTTATGGTTTTGCAACCATCTTAAAAATTTAAAAGAGAATGAAGTATTTAAAAACTGACTTTTATCGTTCTTAGTAAAAACTGGTGATTATTCCTAAAGTATGACTCACTGGTCTGTTCCCGACTCTCTGTATGCATCGGGAACTGAGAACAAGATACGATACATACTTACTGGGAAAGCAAAACTGGGAGAAACCCAAGCAGTGGGGCTGTGGATAGGGTTCACTTGGTAGAACACTTGCCATGTAAGCACGAGGACCTCAGTTTGATCCCCTGAACCCACCTAAATGTTGAACAAAGTGGTACAAACCTATAATCCCAGTATTGAGGAAGGGACAAAATCTCTGTGGCTCTCTCACCAGCCAGCCTGACCCACTGAGTGAGTTCTGGATTGAGTGAGAGATCTTATTTCAAAGAAAATGTGGACAGTGCCTGAAGAACAATATCTGGACCTCTGGCCTCCACGCAGATGTGCCCATGAAACCCAGCAATGAGAGATGACCCTCAGTGGTTTTTTGCTTCTACATAGGCACCAGGAAAGATGCTCCTGCAACAGGAGATGTGCTCTTGTTCTCAGGGTGAGCATCCTTGACCATGGCTTCAAGATCCATCATCTATGGGTTTTTTATGTCCATTTCCACCCGTTGGCTATACTAGTGTTAGAGCTGGGTGGACATGCCTGTCTTTAGTAGTTATCCCAGCTGGTACAGACTGTGGTCTTCTGATTATCTTGGCGACAAGATTTTTAAAAACCCTACTGCTACTGTGCTGGGCTACTGGTATAGGCACACCACATCTCCATGTGTGCTTTTCTGGCTGTTTTTCTTGCTTCATCCATATCTGATCCACAACTCTTTTAAGACCAAACTCCCAGCTTAAATGAGATCTTCACATTTCTAACCAATTCCTTTCTTTAAATCACTTTGTCCAACTGAAAGCCTCTACAGATGATTTATTGTTTGAAACCTTTTTAAAAAAATCCATCCTCACACTTTTATAGTCAAATGGTTTTCAGTAGAATTTTGGAGGGCATGCCCTCCAGAAAAGAGAGTCTTCAACAAATGATGCTGGGAAAGCCAGAGATCTATCTTCAGAAGAATAAAAGTAGACCCCAGCTTCCACAGGACACAAAAATCAACTCAAACGGGTTAAAGATATAAAATGTAAGACCTGAAGTCATGAAGTGACTAGAAGAAAGCATACAGGAGATGCTTCATGACGTGGGAATAGGCACAAAGTTTATGGATAAAGAGCCCAAAGCAAAGGATACAAAAGCAAGATCATCCAAGCGTATTTTATCAAACTAAAGCCATAGGGAAAGAAGCAATCAGCAGGGTTAACAAGTTAATTCATAGAATGGGAGGAGATATTACACCCAATAAGGGGTTCCTAACAACAATGTGTAAGGAACTCAATCAACTCTATAGTGGAAAACAAAACAAAACAAAACACAAAAACAAACAGAACAAAAGAATGGTCACAAATAATCTAATCGGAAATGATCTGTAAGAGCCAGATGTGGTGGCCCACTCTTGAAATACCAGCACTTAGGAGGTGGAGGGAGAAGGACCAGGAGTTTTAGACCACCTTTGGCTTCATAATGATTTCATAACTAGCCTGGATGACACGAGACTGCATCTCATCTTCATATCACCACAAAATGTATAAACAGTATATCTAAAAAGCCACTTCCTAAATGGAAGCATAGATAGATCAAAGAATCCTCACCTTTACTGAACATGAGGTATAATGGTTAGTGTTGATCGTCAACAGAATCCAGAGCTACCTGGGAGGAGGGCCTGTGTGTGCCTGTGTGTGTGCCTGCCTGTGGGAATTATCTTGACTGTGCTAGATTAATTGAAATGGAGAGACTTGCCGACTGTGGGTGGCACCATTCCCTGGCTGGTGTTGTGGACTGTATGAGTAGAGAAAGGGAGCTGATCAGCAGTCTGTCTTTGTCACTCTCTGCTTTCCTGCTTTGGATGGAGCATGATAAGCTGCTTCAAGTTCTTGCTCCCATGATTTCCCTGCAGTGATGAAACTAAGGAGAAGCTCTTTCTCTTAGAATAAGGGTATTTTTTTTTTCATAACAACATGAAAAGAAATGAATACATCAGGGAAAGGCGAGTCAAAACCACAGTGAAACCTCCCTCCAGTCAGAAGGGCTATTGCTGAAAAAAAAATGTCAAAAATTAAATAATACTGGCAAAGATGTGGAGGAAGAGGGGTCCCTTGAAACTGTTAATGGAAATGTAAATTAGTGCAGTCATTGTCAGGAATGGTATGGCAGTTCCTCAAAATATTAATAACTAGAATTGGCAATCTTGCAACCTTGCTCCTGGGCATGAAGCCAATGGAGTAGGAACCAGTATGCCAAGAGACATCTGTACTCCATGCTTATCATACCGAGGTCCGGAACAGCTAGGAACTGGAACCGGCCTAGCATTAGTTGATAAGCAGATGAAGATGGTGTGGTAATAGTACAGAGTGGCTATCAGCCACCAATGGATGGAACCCTGTCACTTTTGACAACATGCCTGAAACTGGATGTCATCGGGGTACATGAAATAAGCCAGACACAGGAAAACCAGCCTCATGTGATCTTCCTCATGTGAGAACCATGAGCGTTAACCTCATGAAAGCTGAGTGTAGAATGGTAGTGACTAAAGACTGAGTGGGGCAGGGGCATGGGCAGACCAAATAATGTTAACCAACAGACACCAAGTTACAGAAGGATTGGAGAAAAAAGTTCTGGCACTTGAATTATATGCTATTGATTTATAATTTATATTTAAAAGGCCAGAAGAAAGGATTCTGAAGGTTTTCAATTTAAAGATGGTAATTGTTTCATGGGAAACACGAGTGCACATGCATGCGCATGCACACAGAGACAGAGACAAAGACAGAGAGACAGATATGATGATGATTTCATAAATATATATATATAATTTTTCTGCATGGTTATAATTTTAAAAAAACTTTTAAAGTCCATGTCAGTGCTTGATTTGGAACATCAGCTGTGTCACCAGATTCTTTAAGACCCTGAATTTCTTTCCTGAATTCTTATTCCTAGTCACCCTAACTGGAAGTTGGCCAAGTTCAGATCAGAACAAGAGATACCATGGAAACCCGTGCCAGAGGCTGCAGCACGGAGTGTCCAGTAACCTTCCTAAGAGGACCAAGAATCATATGTCTCAGTTACCGTGTGCCACCAGGGTCTTCTGGGAAACTCTGA